AGGACCATGTCAGATCTATAGAAAAGGGTCATCTCTGGGATCAAATCCAGAGTATTCGAGAAATGTTTGGTTACCAATCTCTTCATTCTTTGGGAACCCAGGCTTCCCAGATCAATCCTTGAGCTAGACACAGGTATCCTAAGTGTGGCCCAAGGTATGCGTGTCCTGTGCAACTGCCCCAGAACACTTCTACTTATAACCTATTGGCCGGATCTTACTCACGTGGCCACAGCTAACATATAGAACGCTGGAAATGAATTCCTTTTTCTTAAAGGGCCATGTGCCCAGATAAAAACTACAGTGGCTTATGCCAAATCTCTCACGACAACATAAATTTAAAAAGATTTGTTATACAAATACAGGGGTATCTCATGGAACCAGAACGCAGGAAGCCTGGCCCAGCCTGATGAGGACCTTGAATAGGGACTTGTCAGGAATCAAGACCATTGTTCTTTTTATCTTACCAGGAGCATAAAAGTCCTCAACTGTCAATGCCTTTCTCAGCCGACTAGCCCTTTGCTTGCTCATCAACACACATTCACTCGGCAAATACGTACTGAGCTCTTAGCAGGGACTGGGACTGTTCCAGACATGGGCATAGAGAGAGGAATCAAACAGACAAAAACACATATCCCCAAAACAGTCATCCAAGCCCCTCGAGCCTCTATGTCCTTTCAGTTCCAAGGACCCACAATTTTTGGACTTCCTGTTTCTATTTCTCAATTCCAATTCTTCTACAGGATTAAGTAGGGGTCTTAAAACTCCAAAGAAAATTGGTTTCAGGTTGGAGCGGCACATGCTCCTGACCTAGTATCAGCAGAGGCCACCGCTAAGCCTCAGATGCAGTGAAAGAAAGTTCTGGAGTCCAGCCAGACCACTTTTCTGACTTCTGTGTTCCAGGTGCCCCTCAGCTGTGCAGGAAGAGTTGTTTCTGAGGTTTCAGGTTGAGGCCTGGGAGCTGGGAGTCGTCGTGACAGTGGTAAAATGGCTAGGCTTCATGCAAAACATGGAGAAAGAGAGTTCAAGTCAGTATCTGCTGGAAAACTGAAGTATAAATCCAAACAGACAGTGCAAATAAAATGTCAGTGTGCAGGGGACAGGCTGAGGCACCAAAAACAGGTATGAGGAAGTGAGACAAACAGGAGGCAACAAGATGAGCGAGCAAGTGTGGAAGGTTTATTATTCAAACTTAAATCCAGAGGAAGGGCAGACATCAGGACTGGTTTATCCAGTGTTGCAGTGATGTCATGAGATCCAACCCCTTCTTCATCCAAAGTTAGAAGAAGGCTGTCTGCAGCAGTCAACTTTACATGCTTCCCCAGTGTGGTGAGAGAAAAAGAATGGCTTTCAACTACTCTTTTTCAAGTGGTGAACTTTCCTAGAAACCTTCAGCAAACCCTTCTTAGTATAGGCCAGCCACTCAAGAAGCTTGTCTGTGAATGGAAGTGGGGAAAGAAGTAGCTGAGGGATCAAGGGAACAATCTGTTTTTAAATAGTGAAGGGACAGGATCATTTTTAAAATGCTGACAGCAAAGAGGCAAAAGAGTAAAAGGTAAAAGAGGAGGGCGGGGTGGGAATGAGGCTGGTGCCTGAGAAGAGGTTATTAGGTAGAGCAGTGTTTTTCAAACTTTAACATGCGTGTTATTCACCCGGGGATCGTGGAGTCGCCTGCGGGGTTCTATTAAATGCATATTCTGACTCAGTAAAGTGTGGGGTGGGGCTTAAGAGTCTATATTTCTAACAGGTTCCTAGGTGATGCAAGTGCCGCTTGTTGTGGGCCCCATTTTGAATAGTAGGAATTTAGAGCGGTGGTTCTCAGACTTCAGTGTGCATCAGAATCACCTTGTGGGCTTGTTTCAGACAGGTTTCTGGGACCCACTCCCAGAGTTTCTGATTTAGTACATCTAGGATGGGGCACAAGAATTTGCATGTCTAACAAGCTCCCAGGTGCTGCTGATACTGCTAGTCCAGGAATCACATCTAAGATTGATTTAGAGTA